CACAGAACCAAGCGGGGGTGGGAGTCACGGTGTCAATTTACATTTACATCAGCTACACGTCGTGGAGAGGCAGTGTGACACTGACATCCGTCTGACTCGGCTCCAAGCCAGCCTTGAGGAGCCATCCTTTGAAGAATCCGAGTTACTTTTTTTCCTGGGCATCTCACAGGAGTCACTTTCAGTGATTTGGATTTTTTTTTTTCCCAACCAGACACCACCAGCACCCGAGAACAGCTTGTGCAGCATCTATCTGTGAGAACTCACACATGTGGGCACTGACTCTTACCTTCACCTGTCAGGCAAGTCCCCACATCACTTCCCATTCTGTCCAGGATCACGGGACACACTGTATTGACACAAATAAGGACTTTTTCCACACTCTCTGCACCTTCCTGTGAGACTACCTGAAAAACCACCTTTTGAAGGGTCTAGAGGCAAATCAACCACACAAACAATTTAAAAAAGATTTATGGTTAATTTCCGTTTTACAGACTATCATCCCAATAGAGATACTGTGGCACTACCTCTGAAAAGGGAACCTAGTATTTTGAGGATATTCCACCCTAAAATGGGACAGAAGCTCTTAATATCACAGCTTATTTTGGAACCTCCAGAATCAGCATACAAGGCAAAGAGACACCATTCACAGGAGCACAGGTTTGTATAGATATGTCCATAGATCTATATTTTTATTGTTTTATATATATTTATAATATATTTATATATTTTTTAAAAGAACCCCTTCAAAAACTACCCTCCCACCTAGCAAAACAAAGATTAAACAATCAAAGACGGTGTCCTGGAGCAAAGTATCCCAGGGGTCTCATAGAGCCAAAACAACTGCTGAGCACCAGCACCCTCTTTCCAAGATACTGTGATGCCCTGGGGGTGCCAAGGTGACTGTCACACCTTTATGGCTCCTAAAATTGACCTGTCAAAAGACAGGGAGAGAGAAAGAGAGAAAGAGAGAAAGAGAGAAAGAGGTGGCCGTGGCGACGGGGGCTTGAGCGGCTGGGGAAACAGCAATGTGTACAACCTGAAGCTCAGAGTGTGAAATGCTGTGATGAAAAGGAGGGAGACACTGCCTGAAACATCGATAAAGAAGAAAGGAAAAGAGAACAAACATGCAGGAGAGTTAGTTGGAAAGATGGATCTCAGAGAAGAGCTCAGAAGCATCACACTTGGGACCCCTGCTACCCCCTCCATCCCCCAAATCTCTTCCTCTCACCCTCCCAGTTGTGAAGGGAGATCCAACTAGTTTGATTTAGACCAAATCTTCGCGCTGCCCCGGAGCCTGTGGGCACAGGGAAAAAAAAAGAAAAATAGAAGTTCGAAGTGGGCACTTGGGTTCATATCTCACTCCCTTCCTAAGTGCAAAGGGAAAAGTGCATGGACGCTCCCACACTGCTCACCCTTTGGCTTTGGAGGTTTTCTTGCTCGTCTGGCGCTGGTTGGTGCCAGGGGCTGGCTCCCTGAGCTCCGTGAGGTGCTGCTCTGGGTCTTGGGATGTGGCTGCTGCAGCAGCTGCTGTTGTCACTTTAATAGTCTTCTTCAGGTTTGCCACCTGCAACAGCAACAAAGTAAGAACTAAAAGCTGGGATTTTTTTTTGGCTATAGGTTTTTTTAGTTTCAATCTTGGATTTTTTAAAATTTGTTTCTAAAGGAAGCCCTGGACCTAAGAGCTGCAAGCTCAAATCAAGGAAAAGAGCCAACATCTGTCCAGGCCCCTGCACTGCAGAGGAGTATTAAGCTGATTTAGGACTCTTCAGGCACAAGTCCCTGGGGGGTCTGGCCTACGGAAAAGGCAATGCCTCACTTCAGCGAAGACTGTAACAACCACAGGGTACTGGTTCTAATTGTTTCAAGGCAAGGAGCACTAGCTGCTCCCTGCTGCACCCACTCACCTCGCTCTCGATCTGCTGCTTCAGGGCCAGCTGTTGCTCTTTGTGCTGGTTGGCCCGGCTGACCTGCTCCTCG